ATTTAGCATTATGCTAAGAGCTTTCCGTGCATTTAATTTTCTTTCCATACTGAAGTGGGTCCCCTGACCATCTGCATTGGAAGGATGAGGAACAGAGGCACAGGTGGTTAAGAACATACTTGAGGTCACAGAGTTCACGGGTGGTAGAGCTGGGGTCGCCGCAGGAACCTGGCCTATAGCCCCTGATGCTGCCTAAACCCCAACTCTGTGGCCTCTGTGTAGAGAGCACTTGGCAACAGCGAGGCCGGACCATCAAGACACCCCTGGAGATTATGACACTTTCCTGGGCCTACTGTAGAAGGCCAGGGCCTGCCAAGATTCGAATTCATGTACTCTCCTCCTTTCGTGAGCTCCCTGAAGCACAGCTCTCCTGCTTCTGCCAGCACCAAATATGGGGTAAGTAGCAATGAGACAAAAGGAGGAGATTGAAAGGCTGTTTTGAAATTTTACATTCACTCACAAACAAACCCTGACAGGCAATTTAGGTGAGCAGTTTGACTTTATTGTGAAGTGTGTAATTTAAATGGGTTTTATTTCAGGGAGATGAAGTTACACTAAGGCAGCCTTTGATGTCACCTTTCGAAATAATCCTTCCTTTGGAAACCTTCTAAATGTCCAATCATGGGAGGAAGGTTGACTCTACTATGCACATCTGCCAGGTGGAAGGCCCAGTGGCCTTCTTAAGTGACGTTGTAGGTGGGGAAGGGCTTGGAGGATGTCGGTGCAGCTTCCTAGCTGGAGTAGGCCACAGGTGTGCTGGCACCTGAGCTGTTAGCGTGGAGGATGGTCTGCCAGGGCTGGTGGGCTTCGGAGCAGCGTTGCGGACCCCAGCAGGCTGTTCAAATGTTTTCTCTCGATGTTTGAGGTAAAAATGTTAGGTACTGGTGACCACCATAATCTTTTTTTTTTTTTTTCCAAAAAAGAAAAAGAGCATAGGATTGTGATTGATTTATTTATATTATACACAGTCATACATACAGAAGAAGACTAAAAGGATACATAACAAAATACTAATAGAGATTTTGTCTGGGACTTAGGCGATTTTAATGCTATCTTTTAAAATTTCCTTCTCAACTATGATTTCCTAAGTTTTTATAATCAACATGTATTCCTTTCATAATAGTTATTTAAAAATGTAGTGGCAAGTAAAGGGCCTATACTCCCCACACTTCTGCAGGGCTTTTCTTATAACAGCTTTGACAACTCTGCCAACAGCTACCACCCCCACCTGGTTTCTAAGAGCCAACTATTAGAAGAGACAGCCAATTATTGCTAGAAAGCTAAATAGGCTCTAAAAATCAGACCTCGCAACCAACACATCGTGGTTGGCCATTTGCTCCTACGTAAACAGCAAGTTGATCTTTATTCCTTTCTAAAAACTTTCTTAGGAAATCTTGTGTGAATGTGTGTGTATATGTATGTTTATATATATCTTACTGAATGCATATTATGTACTAGGCAGATATATACATGTGTATAAGTTTTCTCTTAGGAAAATCACATACACATGATATAATTTATTGAACATATTAGGTACTAGACAGTGTTCCAAGTGCTATACATGAAAATCTCATTGATTCTTCCTAAATAACCCCAAGAGGTGGGCAGTCTAGGACATCAGTGATTAATCCAGGGTTACTTCCCTGGTCAAATTTTGGAGCTCAGATTTGAACCCAGACAGCTTGTATATGGCACCCGTGTGCTTAACAACCATGTGTTGTATGTATCATTTTGGACACTTAAGAAGGAAGATTTTTTTGTAAGTAAGGTGTTCCTTCTTTGAATAATTATGTTTTTTTGGATATTTCAGTTAAAACAGGATATGTTTTGAAGAACATCCTTCCTACACACTGGAAAGGACTAAGCTATTTGTAATAAAATTAGAAGAGGAAGAAGAGCTGCTACTAGCCGTCAAGTTCTCAGCAGGGCCAACTGGTCACAGACAGCCTTTTAATTGGGAAGATGAGAGAAAAATCTACGAAAAGGAGACAGGATCTAAAAATTTTTAGGGACCAGGCAATTTAATATGTTGGGTCAAACACTTCAGATACACCCCACAAGCCTTAGAGGGCGCCAGTGTGTCATTGCAACTCAGAAATGGGTCCTCACAATTAGGACTCTTACATTAAATAATTAAATGTTTCAATATGTGAAGTGTATAGTAATTATAGCACATAATTATTATGTATTAAATATAATGCATTCCTGGCACTAGCATTTACTGTTTGCCAAGGACACACAGTTGCTCCTTTCTCAAGGCTCATTACCTGTGGGAAGTCCAGAGAGGGGAGACAGGAAAGCACCCAAATGCCGGGACCAGTGCGGTCCCAGCAGTGTGCAAAGCCTAGGGAGCACGGGGCAGGCAGTTCTGGCGGGGCCGGAGTGGGAGACTCAGTTCTCTCTACACTGAACATAACACAAGAGGACTTCACATGTATAAACCCATTTACTTAAGGTACCAACCCTCGGTACTCAGAAAAACTTGCCTACCTAGAATAAGAAATTCCTCAAGTGGTGAGAAAGGGAAGAATTTTCTGCATCAAGCTGCAAATTAGGAAGATGTCGGTCTCAGGGAATCAAACAATCCCTTCTGTACGCGCACCCCCATTCCAAAGCAAATACGGATTCCAGGAAAACTTCCAGTGGACTGTTACGTAGAACACACACTCTTAAAATGTATGAAGATGCTGGCCTCAAATGACACCTTACTTTGAAAGGTGACATCGAGGGCTGCCTCAGTGTGACTTCATCTCCTTCAAATAAGAAGTTAACTCGCTTTGCAGTAAAGTCAAATTGTTAACAAACATGAACTCGTTTGTTGAGCGAGTGAATGTGAACCCGCAAGACAGAAACCATAGCAACAGCCTCGTCATTGAAGGAGGAACAAAGAGCCTCAGAGCACAAAACAAAGACATCAGGGGCCTGTATTTTTTTTGTGAGTAGCCATCAAGGTATGGGGTGGATATTCTGGGGTTTCAAATTTTTAATTTATAAGACAGCCCTAGCAAGTGAAGCTGTCTTATTTCCCTTTACCTCCACAGTCTGCTAACTTATCAGAAGGCGAGAGGACTGCCAAGACCCCAGCGCAGCTCGACGCGTGGGATCACAGCCATCACCAGCCACTAAGAGAAGTGTCTCCTTCCTCCAGAGTGCAAATTTAGAATTCAGATTTTCAATAAAGGTCTCCATTAACCAGGAAGTGAAGTCATTTAATTCTGCTTGACTTGAAAAAATCAATTTTGTAATATTGTTTTGCACAACTACTAGATGATGAGTAGCCAAATGAACATTGAGATGATTTCTGCTTTCATGACGTTACTCCACCTCTCGTCAACACTTAGGTATAGTTTTTCGATATTGTTTTGCTTTTCCTTTGCGGAGGTTGCTGTTGCCAGTTCTCAGTGCATTAGATTTCACATAAGCAGAGTGTTGAGATTCTGAAAGGAGCGAAATCCTTCTGATTCATCTTGCGTTTATCTCATCGGTGTCACAAAATGGGTAAATAGACTGGACTGAATGGACTGAAAATGGATGTACTCAACATGGAATTAAAACTACAAGTTTAGGCACACTGAAGTAGTAAAGTTGTAAATGCAGGCAGCATTTACATATTACTAATTTGTGTAAAAGTTCTTTCTTCACCTCAATATTACCAATGTGTAATGCTTTTATTAGGGCATCTACTCTCCTATCTTTAAGCTTAATGAATGGTAAAATAATCTTACCAGTCACAGGTTGTTGCCCCTGCTCTGGTGTAGCTTTGGACAGGTTCTCTGTGAGGTGGCCGGTGTCCGGGTGGGACAGAGCACTGGCTGGTCCACTGTTGGTTGGGACACGAGCATCTGCGGTGGTCAGCTTTCCCAGGGATTCCTGGCACAATGACAACCACAAGTCACTGGAAATAGCTTTCAGGTTTTCTACACCCTAGGAGAACATCATCATACATAGAAGAGAGTTGGTTTGGGAAAAATCAAGAGGGTCCAGGACTAGGAGCCAGAACACACAGACTCTGGATGTAAGGACTGCTGGGAATCGCGAGGTCTTGTCCCTCTTCCCTAAGCCTCAGTTTTCTCAACTTTAAAATGGGGATGATAAGACTTTCCCAGTCTTACTCATAGAGTTTAAAGAGGATTAAATGAGAACACTTATAAAATCAACATGCAGCATATAAAAGGCTGTATATACAGATGTAAGGTATTATTGTTGTTATATTGCACAGAGATAACCAAGACTGTAAAACCTTGGTTTGGTAGTGAGGGAGAAGACTGATCTGGATAAATGGAATTGATATTTAGTATTTGAAGACTTTGACCAAGTGTCAATTACATTATCTTCCTTATTTCTAATACCCATTGCAACGAAATTTTAAAACTTTACTGAAAAGTTATATCAGATTTATTAGAAATTTACCCATTGAGTTAATGAGTCATAAAGTGGCCCAAAGGTGGCAGCAGAGGAAAGATGCGAAAGGGATAATGTGCCTTTCAGCAGCTTTTGTGAAAAATGATTTTGTAAAATGTCGATTGCTGGCTAAGGGAAACCTTCACGGGGTTTAACTCAGTTAACTTTCTATTTACTAGTGAAGGCATGCAAGTAACAAAGAGTAGAGGAGTTTTGGAACTAGACAGAGGTGGTGGTCACACTGCTTTGTGCATGTACTAAGTGCCACTGAATTCTATAGTTTAAAATGGTTAATTTTATATGAATTTCACCTTAATTTAAAAAACATAGTAAATACAAACAGAAGACAACCCATTTACCAAAAAAGAGGGTTTTTTTTCGCTTCCAATATTTGAAGACATAGTTTATGGCAACGCATTCTATTTTCTTTCTCATATGTAAATAAAATCAAATTTTGGCACTAAAATTTTTATGAGAAAAATTAAAATTTTTTGTACAGAAGCTTTAAATGCTGCTTAAAAGTTATTGGGAATATGAATTTCAAATTACAAAATCTCTTATTGTAATAGATATAAACTTTTATGAATAAAAATCTTGATTTGGCTTTACATAGTTATCTAAAACTTGATGGTAGTTTTTAAGAGAAGGAATTTACTCAATGCCCAAACATTGTATTTTAAAACACTAGTGCTGGTTGGAGGTAAAATATGATATTTGAGGAGGAGGAAAAAAGATTTTCCTATTTAAAAAAAAAGGTAAAAAAAAGACTTCTGCCTAGTATAGCTTTTATGACATTTTCTGGGTGTATTTACACATGTTTATATAAACCACTTGAACACACAACTTTATAAATATGGCATTATATCAGCTTCTCTGCTCAGAGAGAGAGAAAAAAATTATTTATGTTAAATAAATTGTAAACAACATTAATTTCTCTTACTCTCCTCTTCTTGCTGAAGTGGAGATATATTGAAATTTTAAAAAATGAACAATTTGATAAGTCTTACGTACTTGTAACCAAGTAACATAAACAATATTAACTTGCATTGAATGTGGTGCATTATCATAAGTGAATGCATCCCCATTATTTCATGAGATACACAAGGTTGTGAATAGCTGTAATTCTACATAATCACTGTAGAAACTTTTTAAAAATAGGGATCACTTATAATCTTATCAGCTGGAGAGGATCACCATTAACCTATGTCTGATGGCTCCCCAACTCTGAGAGGACCAAGGCAGAGAGCCAGCCCAGAGAACTGATGCTCAGGAAGGTTCAGTAACTTGCCCAAGTCATCACTCAACTAGTGCTAACTAGTCAGTGGAGGAGTCGGTGCCAGGCCCAGGGTTCCACTTTACCCGGGTCACACTGCCATTCCGTCATCACCTAGGCCCTGCGTACAGGTAAGAGAGCAATTATATCTTTAGCCAAATGATCTCATGGCTGGCTAAGAACCTGCTGATACACGAACGAGCTCCCAGCAGTCCATGTGTTTAAGTGAAGGACTCTGTTGAAAGATAATTCTCCAGTCACCATCCTTCCCTTTGCGTGAGGTTAGCCCATGCTTTACAACAGACTCCACGTTCATTCACACAGTGTTTACTTCTATGCAAAGTGACTAAGAGAAAGTCAGTTACCTTCTCCATGGTTCCACCTGGCTGAAAACCAGGAATGGTCACCTTGATGGACGTGGCCTGGATTTTCAAGTCCAGACTGCATGGTTCCCTGGCTCTGCCGGTCAAGTTGACTGTCCCTGAGCTGCTGGGCCTGGCCTCAGCCTCGGGTCTCTTGCAGTGGGGGCTGACCCTGGCCACTGGTCTGTGCTTAGACCCTAGGCCTTCACTCTTCTGCTGGGGGGAACTGGGGCTCTCTGTGCTCATCGGACTCTGGGTGCCTACATGGGCTTTGTATTCCAATTTGGGCAAACTACTCGATCCTGACAGTTCCTTCTTCCACAGGCCCCCAGCGCCCGCCTTGGGGGCCTCTGCGGAGTCCATCAGCTTGGCTGTGTGGGAAGGAGTGTCCACCATATCCTCTGGGGCACTCTCCTCTAGGTCCACTGAGCTGCCGATGACGGGTGCTGAGCAGGCCTTGCTGACCAGTGTTTTCCGAGGTTGCTCCTCTTGGTTGTTGACATCCATGACCTTGGAAGGGGTCGTCAAGACGTGCCTGGAGTCATCCTCTGTCAGAGGCCTGCTGCGACCTGGAAGGGCCCCTGGGAGTGAGATGCAGTCTCCTTCTCCATCAAACTCTTCCTCATCACTGGCATCGTAGCAGCCCACCCTCCTCTGACGGAGGAGAGGGTTTCGGAGGACCTGGGGGCTTCCGGGGAGACTGGCTTGTCTGGCAACTGTCACCTGCTTGTGGAAGAGCCCAGAGGCCCGTGGGCTTCCCAGACACACGAGGCTGTTGGCCCTGGCTTTTCCTGGCTCTTTGTGAGCTGACAGGGTATGGGGAGAAAAGTCAAACGGAATTGAGTCTCCCTGGTCTCATAATCTGATCCCATCTTTACATCATTACACACAAGTTCTGTGTTCACTAATGCCAGACACACACCTCCCGCCACTGGACCCCAGGCTTAGACAATATGGCTTCCTGGGAGCTATACAGAGCGGACAGCCAGCTTTTCTTTCTTTCATACTGACCCACCCTTTTTTTTCCCCCTTAAACTCCAACCTCTGGATAGTTTAACCTGAATATGTACTTTTGGAGAAAAAACATGTCATTTGATGCCATAAAACTCAAGATTATGTTATGTAAATGACATAGAAAGAGAGCACCGTCAACCCCTGGGTACAGAACATGGCCCATCTCCCGCACAGCTGAGTGGCCAGTCACTAATAGCAGCTGCATTTTCCGAGAGTAAACTCTGTGTTTAGTCAGGGTACCCAGACGCCTCCTGCTCAACCAGAGGTGTCAGTTCCTTTTTCATATTACAGCACCAGGGCAGCGAAACCACCGCAGCCCCCAGCGTAGGTGGGAGCTAGTAGCTGCTTACTGGAACTCAAAGCCCAGGGCCCTCCGGGGCTCCCCTGCTTACTGGGGGGGCCGGGGGCCAGGCTGCTGTCCTCTGACGTGCTGCAGCCACTTCCCGGGTGATCCTCGTCCTCAGAGCCGGCCACCACAAAGTCTGACAAGGGGCCGGGGACATCGTGGGCAAAGTACTGGGAGAGTTCAGATTCAGAGATAAGGGAGTCCTGTGGAAGAAGAAAATGTCACATGACTAAGAGGACGCACCAGAAGCAGATTGAAACGGGCAATTGTTTTCTCTCTTTCCAAGAACACTTTGTTCTAATCCACGGTCGCTCGAGACAGCTGTGATAGTAAATGCTCCTTCCGTTTACTTTAGAATGGCTGAATTAATAACTAATGAATGAAAAAGGTGACTTTTGCTGCCAATGTTTTCGGAGATTTTTTTCTTTTTTGGGGGGCCAAATTTTTGGCAATGATCACAGCAGCAGTAAATCAGGCATCCCGGGAAAACCCTGGGGCCGGGGCAGGACAGCAGAATGCAATTCCCAGCCACGCGTCTGGCCAAGGGATGAACAAAACCCAGGGGAGTTTGAATCCTGCACCCCGACCCGCTGGGATTTAGGAAGAGCCTAACTGACGAAGATGCCACAGTGTCCTTAAAGTCCCAAGCCCCAAGAACTGACTTGGGCCATGTTATTATGGAGTAGTTTGAGAAGTTATTTTGCAAACTGTAGTTCAGTTCTTTTATTTTGTCACTCTGTTCTTTTCCTAGATGAATATTTAATAAATACACAGTTGTGTATTTGTTCTCAAGTTGGCATTGTTACTATTTCTTGCATAAAGTAGCAAAAATGACTCCTGGGCAGAAACAGGGATTGGGCCCTCAGGCTTGACTTGTGGGCTCCAGGAACCGGTTCGTGGCCCAGCTGAGGGAGGTGGGTAGCAGTACACCTTGACTCACCTTTTTTGCAAGAGAGGGACTCTTCAAGGAGGTACCTGTTGAGGAGAAATTTCACTGTTATTGCCAAAACAGTGAAGTTCAAATCACTAATAGGCTCACATCCTTAACTTGAAAAGGACGAGCCAAACATATTAAAGAAAACTCCCTTTGCCTGACTGGCGCTGAGGGGTGCACAGGTGTGGACGTGTATGCAGTCTACCTGGGCACCCCATCCCCATCCCACTGCCAAGATTCTGCTGATGCTTCGAGCCCTAGCTTGGATGCTACTCCCCACACGACGATCCCAACTGGAAGTAATTTCTTCTGATTTTCCAAAGTATTTTATCCTGCCCACACATCAATCTTCACATATGTAGTATAATTCAACTATGGGTGGCTACATCTCCTCTCCCTCCCTCAACTCTTCAACAACCTATAGCGCAGAGATGTTGACTGATCTGACTGCACAGTGCCGGGCACTGGACCTGGTATCTACTAAGTGTTTGGTGATATTTGCTGAACAAACAAATGATCATCACCCAAGAAACTCATGGAAAAACTGAGCAGAGGGTGGAATATCTATTCCAGTTTTTAACTATTCTAGTTTTAACTGAAAAGGCTCAGCATTTAGACTTTAAACTCCATGCCATGAGCAAAAGAGACCCTGGGCATGAGGATCACGGCTTAATAAAATCTTCTATAAATGACTAAGTGGAAATGCGGGATTATGAAAGCACGGCTTTCAGGCGGGTCAGGATAATGAACTGGTTGAATAAAGAGCCTATTATGGCCAAGCCCACTTTAAATATATTCATTATGAATGCAGATAATCAGGGTACTTCATGGAAGCCAAACAATCCCGTGCCTGCCTTTTCCTCTCTCTGACAGCCAGTAACTGACATCTCAGTTCCTTTTCTTCCTGGACATTAGTCTGAACATCAGTAAATCTCAAGCTAAGAAATGTTTTGAAGAATCTCTTTAGGCTTCCATGCTACAGGAAATATTAGTTTTAAAACTTAATATGATGTTTAATTTTAAATTCATATGAAATTCCGACTGTCTCAATCCTCTGCCTGAACTTTTGCACTTAAGGGGGAACTCAGGATTCTTGCGTCTATATTACCCTCTTTGAATTGAAACTTTTAAAATCATGTAAAGAAATCTCAGGCTTTTGGATGGATGATGTAGTCTGCATCTACTATACTACTGATATTTTGGTTATCATTTCCCTTTCATCTACAGCATTTCACATGAATCGAGCATAAACACGTGACATGCTAACGTACTTTTGCAAATTATTTGAAAGTTGTATAAGCAGCATGCATGATTATATTTTTAATGACATACACTAAATAACTGCAAAAGTCGTAAGTAGCAGTCAAGGGAAAGCATAGACTCTCTTTGACAGCTACTTTCGCCAAACCTGAAAATTACAAAGAATCCAGTGATGCTGCACTGGGGAGTGCCCCGTGGGTGAACTTAACGAGAAACTCTTCTGAATGTTGAACGAAAATGTGCAATTACAGTACCTAAGCCAGGAGAGGAATTGGCCTCTTTGCTCTCCTGATAAGTGCTGCGTGCTATCACTTCATCCATTTCCTGCTCGGAAACCTGATTTTCAGCAGAAAGCACAAATTAGATGGTTTTATTTATTTATTTCCCCCAATAAAAGTAGCAAGGACCAGAGTCAGAGTGGAGCGCAGATAAAGAGGCAAATCTCAGGGTCAAAGATTATGATCGTCCTCTGAAGCAATGGCTCAGGGCATGTAGGAAGCACAGCTGGGTTTGTGGATTGCTTCGAATAATGTGTGCACAACAAGACCTTCGATAGGTTCCCGAGTTCAGTAAGCAAAACATTCAGGTGTTAGGATTACCAACAACATGGCTGATATCTGCCTCTCTCTGGAACACTCACTTCTAATTCTTTTTTTAAAACAATTTCAAACCTACATAAAACATGCAAGAATAGTATACTCTTCACCTACATTCACTGATTTTTAACACTTTGCCACATCTACACCCATGTCCTCTACACACACACACACACACAGAGTTACAACTTCTGGTTGTAAGTTGTCTGGTAAGTTACAGACATCATGACCCTTCACCTGTAAATATTTTAGCCTGTATCTCCTAAGAACAAAGACATTCTCCTAAATAACCATGATACTATTGTCCAATTCAGGATATTTAATGTTGATGACTGTCTAATACACATCAGACTTAGTCTATCCAACTTAGTCAATTGTTCCAATATTGTCCTTTAGAAGTGCTATTCAAAGTGCGTCTGTAGGCTGGAACTAGTTCACAGAAAGTTTGACACCAGCCTGTGATAAGGACTTTCCTCCAGAATGCAAATTAGTATGCAGCCTCCTTCATCAACAATATCTTTGCTAGGGAAAAAATGTCAACTGAACTCAGTGGTGTGCATAGTGATGTAACTGATTTACATTCTGATGCGAGTTCATCTTGTTGCAGACCTGTAGCAGATTGTCATGGATCAACTTCTTTGCATAGTAATGCTTTATAAAAAAATTGGTTTTGGCAATGCAAAATACAACCCAGGATCTAGATGTCATGTGTCTTTAGTCTCCTTTAATCTGAAACAGTTCCTGAGCCTGCCTTTGTCTTTCCTGATACTAATATTTTGGAAGAAACCAGGCCAATGCAAACCCTCAATTAGGATCTGTCTGATAGTTTCCTCATGCTTAGATTTAGATTATGTATTTTTTGGCAGAAAAACTACAAAAATGGCTTCCTTCTCAGTGCACCCAGATGCACTTAAAGTCGATGTGTCTCATAATTGGTGATAACTTTGATCTCTTGATTAGGATAGAATTTGTCAGATTTCACCACTGGATTTTTTTTTTTCCCAGTCATTAATGAGGAAACTGTGAATAAACATTAATAGTTTGAGAATATATAAATATCCTGTTCCCCAATATATTTTTACCCCATGGTTTTTATCATCATTGATCATTCTTGCCTGAATCAACTATTACTATGAAGTTTTCAAAACAGTGATTTTGTAACTCCTCTATTCTTTCTATGTTTATTACTATCATGGCAGATTCATGGCTTTTTTCCTCAGTTGTTATCCATAACTGTCATTATTCATGGAAAGATTTTTTTAAAGCCTGACATATGCTGAAATATATGATTTTTTTTAAGTAATAAGAAAATTTATAGAGTTTCTTTTTTAAACGTAAAATATTTTAAACTTAGAATGGTAATTTTGTGCATAAAAATAGTATTTAGCATAAATAATATTTAGATAAGCGAAGCAATTTGTCTTAAGTAAATAAATATTTCTATACAGGATTCAGCATAATATTTTAACATAACAGATAAATCATAATCACATAATGGCTTTTATGTAATACTTTATAGTAAGCTTCACAGGAAATAAAATATGTACACATACATGGGCACAGGCATATACACTTACACGTACACACATACCTCTGCAAAGTAAAGAATAATTTTTTTTAAATGAGCCAGGGAAAATATCAGCTTAAACAGTGGTTGCCATTTTTCTTGATACTAGACTTTCAGTATTTGTAATTGTTTTTCTGAGCAGGAGAAAAACGGACTTCTCTTACTTTCTTCTACTTAACGTAAGCTAGAAGCTGCTATCCTACCAGGTCCAAATCTCAGCCTGACTAGACCTGGCTGGTTTGAATATCCCCATTGGGCGGCCACTGCCCCTGATGTTATGAGAAACAGAGAAAAGAAAATCCTTGTGGTATTTCTCTTGGAACAACACAAAAACTAAGGAAGCGCATACATTTAGTATCAAAATGTACTGTTGGCATGAAATGCTGGGATAAGTGGTACAAAAATACATTAAACATAAAATGAAATCTTGACCAAAGGGAAAATATGGTATGATGTTACAACTAAGAACATCATGTTTACCTGGGAAGAAACGTGAAATCCAGTCAAACAAATACTGAAATTTGGTTTTGTTGGACACAGCTCCAACAGTCTTGCAGAAGACCATTTTACCATGGCTAGAAACATGAACCAATCTGTGTGTTCGTCGGGATCACAGACCACCAGTCCGCCAGGATTATTATGCTTTGCACTGAAATGCCATCTTGATGTTTGATTGTACTGGCAAAATCGACATGTGTTTTTGGGCTGAGATGAACTGAACCTCTGAACAAATCATGACCCATGTTATGCTGGAAAGGATTTTGAAGTCAGACATGCCTTGACTCCAATGACTGCAAACCACTGAAAACTTAATTTTCTATAATGCTGCTGAGAAATGTATCAGGTCAGCCACAGCTCACTGGCCTGCCTGTCTGGGTGAAAGGAGGGATGTGGGTGGCAGAATCCAAGTGGGGACTCTGGAGGGAGCTGAGAATTGCTCTGGTTGTATCCATGAGGAAAAATGCTGTTAAAAGTGATCCAAGGAAAGCCCTGGGACAGCAGTAACAAAGTAAAGCAGACCCTAAAAGAAGTGTCAGGACCACAGAATAGATAGGAGAAACATGGAAGGTGACAAGTAGGAAAAAATGGAAAAAGATGGAAATGGGAATTGGTTTTATATTGATGATAGTTATTAAAATTTTTTTTATGCAAGACATTTCTGAGAATGCATATAGATAAAACAATCTGGAAAAAAAGGTTGGGGAGTAGACTTTGAATCAGTGTAATGGTGATCTTTGTCTAAGCAATGTTGCTGACATCACATACCCAGCCAAGACATGGAGCCACAGCTTGAGCACTTATTTGTACTGGGGAGGACCAGTACAACAAATGAACATCACTAAGAGCCTAAAAAGGATGCTATCAAGAAATCTCAGATGTGGCACAGGGGGGACCTAAAAGATCTCTTGGCGTAGATTTGTTACTCTTAAAATGGTGTATAGGTACATCATACACAGCAGCCTGGGAACATTTAGGATGTAATCAATACTACAAATAATACAAAGGGCGTGCCTGTGTGACGGGCATGAGTAAAGGCTAATATTTTTAATGCTCATTTTGAGTTGTTAAAAGGTTATATTTTGTTAAATACAAGGTGATCACAATGTTAGAGATAAGCTAATTTAAAAAAGATTTTTACACTGAATATTCAAAACAACAAAAAATAGTGCTCAAGGTGGGTTAAGTTGAACTTAAAGTGTCCTATGGTTAGCTTCGAAAAATTTAAAGCAACTGTACAAGCATAGAAGAGATACAACCAAATGACAGCAAAGGCCAGCAATATAGGGATTACGATTATCTGCAAGTTCAATTTGGGTCAACAGTGTGATACTGATGCTAAGAAAAAATTAGTGGGCTCTTAGGCCTAAATAATAGAAGTATTCTGCTTAGGTCCAGAATGGCTTAGACAGAGGAGGAGGCCACTTTTTAAATGGTCTCATCTTTTATTTGTCTAACAATAGTAATGTCTTCACACCCTAACAAAATGATTCTTAACATTTTCGGGGTCATGAATAACTGAGAACTAGATACAAACTATTGACTCCATCCACAAATGCACACACAGCCCCAAATTTGTATAATTCATAATGTCTCTACAAGGTCCATGGACTTCGGGTTAAGAACTCTTTCAGGTTAGGTTGTAAGTTTCTTGAGTAGAGATATATTCTAAATCTGTGTAGCCTGGGCATGTTGACATTGCCTGGTACCTAGTGAAAGCTCAATGAATGTTTATGTACACTGGTTGGAGGGGGACAGGGAAGGACAGGCTCTCTGTTTCACTGTCTTGATGCTTGCTTCAAAACCTCCACACCCATCCCAGTGTACCCCCTGGGACTCTTTGGCATGCTGCCTCTTTTGTTCACTTCCAGGTTCACAATGGCTGGTGGTACCTTTGGCTAAGCTGCTAACATTAGGCTTGAAGAATCTTCCCTCTTCCCTACCATGTGAAACTTGTAAGCAGGAAAATGTCATTTAATAGTTCATTCTCAAGAAGACTGAGAAGACTATACGAATGTCTGCACAACCAAAAAACGCAATGAGCTGCAGTGATTTGGTATGTCCTATTGGCTCAAGATCACATGCAGTTCCTCTTCTCTCCCATGGAGCTGTCCACATTATATAAACCAAGAAAGGACTCCCACTTTCAGAACATGTCTTTAGCAGAACAGGCAAAACCAGTTTTGGAAAATGTGAACGTAAGTAAATGTCATGGCTGGGAGAATTTCAATATGTATTTTTGCTATTTAGGTAGATTTGAGAACACTTGTCTGAGTAGTTAATGGAAAACATCCTAGCATGAACTTAAAAATTTAGTCTTGAGGACTTGGTTCATCAGACAGAAATACAAGATCCTTCACCATTTTGAATAAACTTAACCGATAAGTTCTCCATCATAGTGTTTTTGAAATGCTGGGCTTTATTTTCCCCAACTTTGATGGAAGCAAAACCTACAAAGTAACATTTGCAGATAAGCAATTGGTTTGAAAAGCCAGATCTCATCTTATTTTCATTTATTTAAATTGTGTGAGATAGTCATTGGTAAGATAAATGGGTATTTTTTTTGCCCAACAGTCAAATGAACATTAAGGAGGAAAAGTTCCTCCTCAAATTGGAAGACTTTTTATTTCCTTTAAGAATATCTGAAAAATTTTGCACTCTAGAAATTGTATATAAATGCAGGACTGGTGGGGTGAGCGAAAAAAAAATGCAAAAAAGTCATTGGCTTAAGTGAATTAAATATATTAACAAAGTTTAAGTTAAATTCTAAATAGTCATCTTTCCAACTATTTTTAAAAAATTTATTTTTATACTATTTCAATCTTGATACATTCTCATTGCTTAATCAAAGAAACTTTAAAATTCACTGAACCTGTTTTAAAAAACTAATTACTTAGCATTAAACTTAAAGATGAGAGAATTTCCAACATGTGAGTAAACACAAGATTGTGGTACAAAAACCTTTCTTTTCTGGAAAGTGAGAGTCATACAGATCATCTGGCCCAACGTTCTCAGATTCTCTTGATACAGAAACCCAAAGAGGCTAAGTATCTTGCAGGAGATCAAACAGCCAGTAGGGGTTACTTAGAACTCGGCATCCCTACCTTCCACCAGACCAAATGTCAGATTTACCAAATAACATTGATAAAACATTGACAAAATTTTCTAAGTGTGTGAAGACCAAGTCCAGATCAGTGATTCATTTTGTCCATGTACTGGCCACAGGCTGACTGCCCATCCCCAGCCAGGTGAGCCCCCTCACCAGTGTGTGCCATCCTAGGAATGTGCATCATTGCAGCTGGACAAATAGCCATGTCATCTCTCCATACTCAGAACAGAATGAAATACTTCACCTTTGGATTAGGGTGCCGACCAATGACAAGGCGAACAGGTCCTGGGGGGCATTTGCTCAAGATGGCGTGGACTTTGCTTAAAGCAGCATGGCGAACGTTGACGGAGTTCACTTCTAGGATTTGATCTCCGCGGCTAGGGAGGGCGACATAATCCACACTCTGTGTTAGCAGGCAGTCTTTTAAAAGCTAAAAAAGCTTTGCTTCTGGGAGACGTTTATAATAGAAATCTTTTCTGAATACTTTAAAGAAGCGCATGACATCCTTTCATCTTTGCATACGTGTAAAAAAGCAACACATTCCTATAAACACGTTAGATTTTAAATTGGCAAAGGCCGTTATGCATATCTCCTGGCATTTTTAGAAGTAGTAAAGTTAAATAAAATTGATAATAAAGACAACAAATGGCAGACAGTATGAGCCCATTTCTTCAGCACATACTGTATGCCAGGCACCATACAAAGCAATCTATATAACAATGCTCTGAATAGCTATGCTTATTTCCATTATGCAGATAAGGACACAGGCCCAGGGAGGTCACTCAGATGTCACACACTGTTGAGCTAACTCGTGTCTGTCTGATGCTGGATCATCACAAGATGGCCCCTCGACCACCACCAGTTTCTTTCTTCCTACCATCTTGAAATGATTATTGTAATATAATTTAAGGAGGAAATATCTGAAGCTCAAAGGTTACCCAAGAATTTGTAAAAACATTTCAAATTTGAACAAATGAGAAATTGGGGACAAGTTGCCCATTTTGACTTAAAATTACAGAAAGAGAACTCCACAGGAGAGAACAAAGACTCTTTATATGGGGTTTGAAGAATGCTCATTTGGCAGGCTTCAGACATATGGAACCATTCAAGAAAGAAACATCATCTTGGGATGTCATTAAAGGACTTTTTTCCCTGGGTTCTAAAAGTATATTTTCTTTAATGTACTTTGGATGATTTGCTAAATTTTTTTTCATATGGAAATTCACTCTGATGATTAACTGAAAATGTAATATAAGCTATTAACAGGGCCCAAAAATGGCAACCTCAACGAATGCCATTTTGACAATTCCTCAACCACTAGAGGACTTGGAAGCTTACAGGGGAGAAAGGTGATACTGCTTGGACAGGGTACTTTGTATGATACGTGTACATTCTTGTGCCATTTAGATGGGCACTGACCCACTACAATCATTAAATATATAGCAGAACACGCAGACATCTCTTAATAAACGGAATACCCATGCTACAACTCAACTATCTGGATTAAGAAACCAGATACTCAGTGATTTCAGACAATAGGCACCGTTCAAAAAGGAATAAAAGCAACAGAAGAGGTTCAAGAGATAATATTTAGTAAGAAAGGCCTCCCACTGAAGGGCACAATTTCAGGGCTCTTTTGCGTCCAGTGATTCTGAACCATTCCAAGTAGTTCCAATATTTCATATGAATTTTACATTAATGGATATAAAATGAAAGAAAATACTGAGATAAGCATAGCTCTCTATATACAGTTGCATTTTGACAAGTTTCTGAAATTGAACTTCTGAGTCTAGACAGGTAGAGAAGCTAAGGTTCAGAATTCTCTCATTCAACCAAAGTGCATCTATATTAGCTTTTTATTTTTGGAGAGGCTATTCACTGTAGTCTTGGCTATATTACTAGAAATAATTCAAAGCTTTATCATCCTTCAAAGGAATGTAACAGAGTAGATATCTTATGCATGTGTTTTCGCACGTTCATGAACACACCAGAACCCTCTATTTACTGCCAGGTATGCAACGGACCTCAGGTTGCTCTCCATCTTGGCCACGGATCCCGGGGCCAGGCTGTGAATGTAGATGCCTGGAGGACTGTTTTCTAGGGCCAAGCAGCAGGCACCAATGCCCAATCCAACTCTTGGCTCTGTGAGGGGCATCATTCAAAGAAAACAAAAACGAAAATTATACAGTAATCAGAAAAAAAGCATAACTGATTTGCAACTGGATTTTTATTCAGGTCAATAACCATTTATTTCTGGTTGCGATGCAGAATATAAATCCTAGTTTTGTTTACCAATGCTGCCATTTCTGTTAACGAAACGAGTGCATGGCTAAACCAGGAACTAACTGTGGACGGTGGCGTGTCCAATGGCCCACTCTGCTTCATCTACAGAACCTCCTCAAATCTGTTTGTGGAAATAGGCAAGGTATAAGTACTGTTTTTATTCTGAATACACAACTTTAAGCTTTCTTTTGCCTCTCTTTTTAGCAACTAATCTCTTGGTTATTTAATTTTTCATATTTCTACAGTAGGTGGAGAAGAAAAGGAAACTAAGATGAAAAGGAGTAAGATTTGGTGATCACCCATGACTTTCAGTTACTGGTATTAACTGTATTCTTGACTGTAATCTTTAGTTCTTTAAAATTATGCATTAGCCCTAGACTTAAGCTCATCAGTGATCTTTTTTAATATGAGTCTCTGACGCATGGTGATTCATCTGGGGAGAGTTTAGAGAGCTCTGTGTTCTCTAATTGGTAATTTCCCTTCACTTTAACATAAGTATAATAACTAAAGTAACTAAAATCTCTACATTTGCTCCCATTGTCCATGTAGAGAACACCACCCTGTTGACAGCAGATTGTTCCAAAGGAATAAATCATAGAAAAATGAGAAAAAATTAACCTAAGAACAGGTTCCAAATTGTTATTCAAGAGAACGCAACCTAAATGGGGAGCAGCTGGTATTACCTTTGTTAAGTGTTACTTCCATGACAATCCTGTCCTTGGGCCCAGGGGCCTTCCGACCCAGGGATGAAGAACCGCTCTCCTCGGAGCTGCCCGCTGAGGTCCCCCTGCCGGTGTTGAAGTTCGGGGAGCCGGATCTGCTCATGTGTGTGGGTGTCGAGCAGGGCGTGAGGCTGGGGCTCAGCAACTTTGTGCGTACTGTTAAGACAAATAATCCACTCCGGATTTGCTGAGAAAACAAGGAGGAAGGTGAGTTGGAATTTTCAGTCCGTCCTTATGTCAAAGGGTAAAAAAAGGATAAAACCCAAAACACAAGCAAATAAAGGAAGGAAAACAAGGAGGCTAAAGATGATCAATAAGAATGCTGTTACCTTAAAGGTATGAATGGCTTCTTGAAACGTCAAGCCCTTTATTGGTATTCCATTCACATCTAGGATTTCATCCCCTAGTGATCAAATATGAGAATTACATTAACTTTTAATTTCCTGGACTCTAACTGCTCAGTCTTAGAAGGGGATACCTTATGGTCTCCGATTTACCACTCTACGAAATGACTTTTATTGTCCCAATCCACTTTCATTCACTTAGCTCCCAGGAATGTCACAAAATGGGACAATTAATGACAATGCATATTTTTTTGTAGTGCTTCTGTACTTTCATCTTCAATTAAAACAACTATGGGAAGCACCAAAATCTTATTCATTAGCTATTGCCAAGTTTGACAGTAGATGTTCCACGTTTAGAGATCAAACTGCAAAGACCGAGTTCTGAGGCATTCCTCATAGTCATTGTTTAAAAACTTAAACCCCACTCTGGAAGGCCAAGGCGGGTGGATTGTTTGAGCTCAGGTGTTCAAGACCAGCCTGAGCAAGAGAGCGAGACCCCGTCTCTACTAAAAATAGAAAGAAATTAATCAGACAACTAAAACTATATAAAAAAATTAGCTGGGAATGGTGGTACATGCCTGTAGTCCCAGCTACCAGGGAGGCTGAGGCAGTAGGATTGCTTGAGCCCAGGAGTTTGAGGTTGCTGTGAGCTAGGCTGATGCCACGGCACTCCAGCCCGGGCAAAAGAGTGAGACTCTGTCTCAAAAAAAAAGCAAAAAAAAACTTAAACCTACGGGCAACGAAGCATGAACACACAGCATTTGAGAAGCCACTCCTGTATTTGCATAAAGACAAGCTTCCTGAGCCCAGAGAATCATCATGGTGTATGGAAAATGGGTTTAATGATGAAGACAAAAAACTTGCTGAGGTATTATTGAGAAATGGCAGCCCCACCTCCAGAAATAGTCTAGATGCCTGGTCTTATCGATGTGGTTCCAGGTTCTCTGTCATTAAGCTGGCAAGTTACCGTAGGCCTCTATCTCAGAGATTACTGCGGGGCAATGCCAAATTGCAAGGCACTGCATGCACACACTCGTGTGCCTGCCCCTTCCCCCACCCACTATCTCATCATCTTCAGTGCTAGGAAGGTATAGCCAGGTCATTTTTCAAACTGTTGATAGCATCTGCTGGGAACATAAAAGAACTTGGACATCCTGTTGACTTATCAGAGCTCGTTTCTGGTTGGCACTCTTGTGACAAGGGCTGTTTTTTGGAATAACAGTTCATCAAAAACACTACAAAGATGTCCCAGAGAAGAACAGATGAACTTTGCACAGCAGTGCAGTACAGAAGAGGGACTTTGTACACCTACAAGAAAGTGCAAAGCAGCATGAGAACACACGTTTTCACCTCTCATAGACAGCCAATCCCAGGAGCACAATGGATATGTGACTAAAGGAATACTGCAGATAAGTTACAAAAATGTAGCAGCACCCCATGCATTTGTTATGTGGCTTCTTCCCTTTAATGCAATTACAGAAGTTATAAAATAAGAGAACTAATCTCTGTTTAAAAATCACCATAACCAATTACTCATTTAGGTGAGGAGGTTTATGTTTTTGGGTTATTTCCACACGGGAAAAGGAGCAAACATTAAAATGATTGCTCATGCTCTTAAAATGTATACAAAGATTTTCTTTTAAAGACATATCACTCAACAGGTTGAAAATCCATTCCAATGACTTACGTTTCTTGTAAATGAACACATATGAAAAAACAGCATGTAGGAGAATCAAGTGCTATTAACCTTTCGATTTTTCCCCCATTTTCCTCCATTTTACCAGCCTTGCAGGATGAATTTCAATCAAGTGAACACATGGCACATTCATTATAAAAATGCTCTGCTACAATTTTATATTGTTCTGAAACTTGACACAAACACCACCTGGGAGTGACCCCTTCCTCTAGGAGAAAAATAAATATTCTGCCATGCAAGCACAAAGCCTGGTCACGTCTTATCATTAGCATACAGGATTCTATGGTTGCTCTGCCTAAGAAAAAGGAGACTCTAATTCGCTCTTATCAGTTTCAAACTAGTATAACACAACAGCACCTACAGTTTGGCTTAACTGAATTGAACAGTCACAGCATTTTTGAAGGTAACTAGAAATATTCTAATTTAATTATTTCATGAAGGAGGTGTATTAATAAGGGAGGGAAAAAAATCAGGATTCATGCTTTGGTGAATGCTTTTTAAAATATGTTCAGAACTTGTTGGTAATTTTACTTTATAAAAATATAATCCAGATAAATATTACATAGTAAATTACAGATATACAAATATGTACTTAAGAAGATTCTCTCTGTATTAAAAGCAGCTATTGTGTCTGTACATAAAGGAAACTTTGGCCTATTCAAGTTCTATTTTCTCAAATATCGTATGTTCGAGAAGGAGGAAAGAGTTCTGAGTCACCAATCTTGTATTTAAACAGGCAGCAATAGTAAGGTGGGAAGCGAACGGAACTTGAGATCAGAAAGCTGGGTTTAAATTTCGCTTCTGCTATTTACTAAGGGTGGGACAAGTTTCCAGCCATTTAACACATTTCTGAGTGTCACTTTTCTCATTTGTAAAATGGTCACTCCAAAGTGCCTACTTGACAGGTTTGTATGCAGTTAATGAAATAATATAAATATGTGGGAAGGTTTTATAAATGTTTAAAGCACTAAAAAATGTAAGATGTATTTAAACGTTTAAAAAATTTTATTTGCAAGGGAGAACTTGGCCCCTCAATATTGCTTTAACATGCGTTCAGAAGCACTTGTCATGTATATTTACATGGGGTAGGTGCTATGGAGAATGTATTATAAAGATGTTCATTTAGGAACCAAACTATGTGGTGGTTAATTTCAACTGTAAGATATTAAATACCTACTAGTGATGAGGGCTTCCGTACCAGCCCTGAGGCAAGAATGGACTGCAAACTCTCAAAAACTTTCAAGGCCAGGAACATGATCAAGGACTAAGTGGATAAGATAGACACTTAAAAACATTGGTGAAAATACTAAGCCACTTTCCACTTAATTATGTCATTTAATCCTCACAATCACTGTTCAAGGTAGGTATTACTATTCCAAGTTTACAACTGAGGAAAGTTATGTTGCCTGTCCACGGTCCTGATGTGTAAGTGGTGGGTTCAGCCCAGGTCTACTGGACTCCCAAGACCATGGCCCTAGCTGCTGTGCCATTTGCTTCGCATTTTGCGAAAGGGCAGACTCGCATGGAATCAAAGCTCGCTGTCACTGAGGATAACCAAGAGGCTTTCTCCTACCTTCTTTAAGTCTTCCATCCTCTGCAGCTGATCCGTTTGGGAAAATGGTCTTGACAAAAATTCCCATCTGTCCCCGAATGCAGTCTCGACCTCCAGCAATGCTAAAGCCAAGGCCCTGCATCCAAAGCAGATGGGAGTCCAGGCTGACGTGCAGTATTCAACTGAGGGTATCCTTCCCATGAGAGTATTTAACCAAAGTGTCCTTCCCAACCAGGCTTGCAGTTGAACTAATCAACTAGCTGTAAATTCAACTCTGCATTCTATTCTCAGATCCATTTCCCGTCTCAGACCTGTTTGTGTTATACTAGCCACACCATACATCAAAGGGAGAAACTTTTAGGTTGAAACATGCAAAATTCCCAATATTTGACAATCTTGACCTCCACGAATGGGACTTTTTCATACAGATCAACTAAATAGCTCATGAGAGTCATTTCCTACTATGCAGTAGCAACATTTATTTTCTTTTGTTTCAGTCTTTCCATTTTGTATAATATCAAAATGGACATTTTGATATTTGACATTTGTATAATACCAAGTGATTCATATCCTTCCCTTTATAATAATGGTAATGCCATGAAATTCATTCAAAAGCATAGCAGAGCATTCCCTGAAGCTGCAGGGTCTGCTTTTCTTTCCGTAGACATAAGAGGTGGTGGTCATTCATTCCGCCCTCCATTTTGCCCCAGCAGCCAGGTGCTGGTGACCTCGCACGTCACAAGAGCAAAGAGGGTGTGACCATCTCACGCGCTGAGGCCTACAGGAAAGAATGCAGGGAATCCACTTGAACCCATACGGAGGCCACTCAATCTCTCTCTCTCTATATATATCTGTTTTCCGTTTCATATAACAACAAAAATATAACAAAAATAAAAATTTTTTGATTTAAAAAAGTACGTGCTAACGTTCACCTGGAGGACAGAGCACTCCACAGAAAAGAGCTCACCTTGCCTTTTTCTTTGTACAGCCCAATGATAGAGATAACGGATGGCCGGATGAGTCTCCAAGGAGATTCCACCTGAGTAGTGCTTAAGGAGCGGGTAGACTTCTTCACGATGTGGTATTCCTAAAAGTCAGCACACGCAAGGTCAGAGATATCCTCATTGACTCTGTTGTGGTCTGTGGCACAAAAATATACCCAGACTTTGAAAATCTGAGGTGTCTTTTGTGTTAGACAACCATTTCCCTCTGGTCCATTGGCTTAAAGGAAGGTTATTATGAATAATATTGGAGGAATAGGCCCCCTCTGGCTGTGCCCTCTTCCCCCACACAAAGAACTGCGTGGAGACCACAAGCACCCTGTGTTGCTCTTTCCTCAACCACATTCCACAGATCCTACTTTTGGAGTGGAGTCTGGTTCATTCCAGAAGGGGCCTCAGCAATGTAGGAGGACCATCCTGTGGCCGAGTTCTTCTGTGGAAGCCACCCTCTACCCCCGTCCCAAGTTCACAATCATGGTTAGAAAATATCTCACCATTTTAAGCTTAATTCACTCACTCAAAAACTCAGCAAGCTCTTATTTCTTATAAAACCCAAACCACAAACCCCGACAACTGTTATTCCACATAAAACATCCCACTGAGAGACGGCAGCAGCTTCGGTTTTAATCCTCACATTTGGAAAATAAAATATTTTCCCATAAGCCACACTTTCCCTTCCTGACACACAGTAGCTCAAATCTCAATCCCTTCTTCATGTCTGTCACCCACAATATACACGTGTGTGAGCAGGGCACACTATTTATAACATAAACAAGACAGTAAGTGACTCTATTGCTAAAGCACTTCTATAATCTAGCCCCTCGATATTCTTCTTAGAATAATAAACTTCTTAAATGGCACAGATATTCTAGCATAAGCCAAAGCATAAATTGCTTCATGTTTAATATGAGAAAAGAGACATCACAGAGTTTTTACTATTAATTTGTGTATCCTACACACAAACATAGAAATGAGACGTCCTCCAATGATATTTTCGTATTCCTGCCAGTTTAGAACAATTATATTTTGCAGTTTTACAAAATATCTGCCAAGAATGTTGGCCTTCCAGACACTGGCTCATTAAAAAAATGATGTGGGCTTGGCAAGGTTACTACCCTTTTACTGAAACTATTGCAGAGATGGCCAGATATAGCCCAGGGTTTTCTCAACCCTTGAATACAGAGGTGCGTGTGTGAACTCCTAAAGGAACTCTTGTTCTGATCACCATCTTCAGCAGAACCTCACTCCATCTCCCTTTTGACAATCAGTGGAACCAAGGGCCTGCTTGCTTTACTGGTCTCTTGATGAATTTCGGGGGTTCCCTTGAACTTTTTAGACCTCTGCTGTCTAATATGGTAGCCACTTGCCATCTGTGGCTATATTTACATTAAAATTAACTAAAATGAAAAATACACTCCTCACTAGCCACTTTTCATGTGCTTAGTAGATGCACATGGCTACCATATCCCACAGTATAGATATAAAATGTTTCCAACACTGCAGAAAGTTTTATTGGCTAGCTCTAGTGTAGACAATACTTTTTAGTGGAGGGAGAGAGACCAAGGAAAAAGAAAGGTGAATCCTGAGAGATAAAGAAAAGGGCAGAAAATAAGAAGAGAAGAGAAAGGAAATTTTAAAAAAGGAAAAACACTCTTTTTCAAAACTCTCTACCCTAGACTGGGCTTCCTGATTCCTAGAAACCTAGTTAGAAATGGATGTTTCTGGGTTATAAATATGGTCAGGTTTCCTCTGTGCCTCAGTTAAAAAATGATCACCTGAACGCTAGATCCATGGCCATGATGGCAGTAAACTCTCTCATCTTTTATAATACCTGAAGCAGCCTGATGATTTGGCTATCCTACAACATTCTGATATCTCCTGACTTCATGGGTCCAAGTGGATCATTCTGAGCAGGTCACAGACCCGTCTTCAGTCCTGGGTCTGGATGATTTTTAACAGGGTCCGTGCGGTTTTTGTCTTTGCTTTTTCTCAGTGTCCCAACTACCCGCCGAGTTGCCTTTGAGTAAACTCACCATGACACAGCCTGATCAGCAACTGTCTTTGAAACATGGGCACTTTCTACTCTCTTGGTCAGGGAAAGAGCTTCAGAAGCAACACAAACACTTTATCCTAACACATAATCAATCAGATTCATGCACTTTTCTTCACAGAGATTGGTGCGTATCTCAAAATATTTAACCTCTTTGGGATTCAGTTGTCCCATCTGTAAAATGGTCACAACACACCAAAGATAAGGGCCTGATCCAGATGCCCTGACCCAGGTCCTTTGAACTCCACCATCTAAGGAGTTATGGGTGCCACTGCTACTACATCCTCCTACTCCCTCTCTAGGGACAAGATGCTAATGGTTCCTCTTAAGCCCCCTGGCTCATGAAGCCAGGACTCAAAGAATATCCCACAAACTCTCCAGAGATCGAGTCTGCCTCCATATTGGTTATGAGACTGTCTACCCAGTTTCTACTGGGTTGAAGGTAATATGATTTAGGAGGAACCCCTGTGCGGGGTTATGGAGCCCAGAGCTCTGCTGGGAATAGGCTCTGGAACATTAACTTAACCACCTACTGTACCCCTCTCTACAGCCCCCGTGACCTTGGCTGTTTGAGTCTTTACTGTGTAACAGGTAGGATTCCAGGCGTGGCATAGGATAGGTGCGTGCACACGTGCCCACACACATTCCCTCTTTCACACCATGTCCACACCCACCCACACAGTTATGCTGACGCATGATGCTCCTATTAACATATTAAATGCCATGTGAGTTATATTTAACTCACACTAGTTTTGAGCCTGGGGCCCTGTGAAGCAAAACCTGGGCAAATCCTGCAGATGGTTCATGAAAATCTTACTTGTTGATGTTCTTACTGTTACAATTAATATTGATAATTCTAAAAATGTGGACTAAATGAATAGAAGTCAATAAATTTCATTTTTCATTAAATTTTTCATTAAATTAGAAAGAATCATTTTGTTTTTGAAGTTTTTATTCTATTTTCGTAATAAAACACTGTAGTCCCAAGGAAAAACATTTTTTTTTGTAGTGTGGCAGTCAACGTGTTAAACAAGCAACGGTGGTTCACCACAGACTGTGAGACGCCATTGTCTCCTGGCAACTGAAGGCAACTCTCACTTCCAAAACACACAGTAGGAAGGGGATCAAGACATGAAAATTTTCCCTACTATTTTCAAATATTAGGCTGAATTCTTTCAAACCTCTCTGGGTAGACCCCACTTTCTATGCTATATCTCCCTGTATTATCTCTCTAGCCTGCATAGATGGGCAGTTCTTCTTAACATGGAAGCTCTTATGGTCTTTAAAAAACAAACAAACAAAAGCAGGCTAGAAACATGCTCTCCTGTCCCTAACCAAGCACTGGCGACTGTGCAAGAGAGTGAGCGGCTCCGCGGCACCCGACTGACCTGTGCTGCTCTGGAGGAGTCCAGCAGCTGGGGCAGGGAGTGCTTCCGGCCGTCTCGGGAGACCTCCAGCATCCGGGCCCGGGGGTCCCCATTCCGCACCATCAGCTCATTATATTCTTCAACAGATTCTAGGCGGTGTACACCCCCTTGACAAAGAAGGGGAAAAACATGGTTCGATGGCATGAAAAACATCTTAGGCATATCCATAGGCACAAACTTGTTGCATTTACACCCACCTTCATGGTTTTCAGAAGGCCCAGCATCCAACACACTCAAATACCAAGCTCACCACCTTCCACCACCAAGGTCTGCACGAGCTAGTTATGTGTGGAGGCTGTTAATGCCAGGCTACAAAAAACTGCTAGTTTTTGAAGTGATCAGGCTGGATAAAGGGCTATGTTTATGTTTGATCCAAGTAAGATGTAGCTGTGGTGGATAAGGCAATAAACAGTAGCAAGAAGGCTGTAAGTAGATGGTTTTCTAGTGATGAAGGAAGATCACTTTGAAGTTGATGGTTCCACTATAGGGGCAGATGTTTTTCCACATCTAGTAATGACTTTTTATTTTTTATTTATTATTTATTTATTTATTTATTTATTTTTTTTGAGACAGAGTCTCACTGTGTTGCCCGGGCTTGAGTGCCGTGGCGTCATCCTAGCTCACAGCAACCTCAAACTCCTGGGCTCAAGCGATCCTACTGCCTCAGCCTCCTGAGTGGCTGGGACTACAGGCATGCACCATCATGCCCGGCTAATTTTTTCTATATATTTTTAGTTGTCCAATTAATTTCTTTCTAATTTTAGTAGAGACGGGGTCTCGCTCTTGCTTAGGCTGGCTTCGAACTCCTGAGCTCAAACAATCCGCCCGCCTTGGCCTCCCAGAGAGCTAGGATTACAGGCGTGAGCCACTGCGCCCGGCCTAGTAATGACTTTTTAAATAAATTTTTTTTTATTAAAATCTAACAACTTATAGCAATATGGACAAATCATTAAGTGTACAGTTCAATGAAATTTCACAAAGAAAACATATCAGTAACCAACACCCAGATCAAGAAATAGAATATTAACCTGAACCTCAAAGCCCCCTTTGTGCCACTAACCATTCCTCACACAAGGGTAACCGTTATGCTGACTTCTAACATCACGAATCACTTTTGTCTGTTTTTGTACTTTATATAAATGAACGCATATGATCTGTACTTTCTTTTATGCCCAGTTCCTTATTCTTAGCATTTGTTTGCAAGATTCAACCATGTTGTTGCATGCCAATAGTTTGTTCATCTCCATTCTGTATATTTCATCGTATAAACATACTACAATTTCTTTATGTATTTTATTGTTCATGGACATTTGGCTGGCTTCCAGTTTTAGATCAAGAGCAAAGGTCTGCAAACTTTTTTGATAAAGGCCAGATAGTACATGTTTTAGGCTTTGTGGGCCACAAATGTTGTCTGTAGCATATCCTTCTTTTTTTTTTTTTTAACCAACCCACTAAAAATGTAAAAAGCATTTCCAGCTCATGGGCCATACAAATACAGCTGTGGGCTGTAGTTTTCTGACCCCTGATCTAGAATATATTGTTATTAAATATTCTCGCACATGTCATTTCTGTTGGATCATGCCTAGGGTGGAGTCGCTGGGTGACAGGTATCCATTCACCTTTACCCATGTTGTATCACCAGCTTCTGTGAGTTCTGGCTTCTCCACATCCTTGTTATGTTTGGCAGTGTCAGTCTTCTGGTGGATATATAACAATCTCATGTGTTTTTTATCTTGCATTTCACTGAAGACTAATGAGATTGAGCTTCTTTACATATAGTCATTGGTTGTTTTCCTTTTGTAAAGTTGTAAAGTACCTGTTCAAGTCTTTTGCCCACTTTAAATTGCATTCATGTTTTTTTATTATTGATTTATAGTAGTTTTAATTTGTTTTTACTATAGCTTGGATATGGGTCCCTTGTGGAATCTACAGATTTTAAATACTTTCTCCATGTCTGTGCCTTGCCTTTTCATCGTCTTAATAGTATATCTGGATGAAAAAAGTTCATAATTTTAATGTATGTCATTTTTTTGATTTTTTGGCTAGTACCTTTGTGTCTTATTCAAGAAACTTTTGTAATAACAATTTTTAAAGACTTTATCAATATCTGATCTATGTTATATGCTATTTTAAAATAAAATAATTTAAGGAACTTTAATCTTAAATGATGTATCATTTATATAATATAATGTTTGCATTATACACAATATATTTGTCTATATGCATGTGTATATATGTATATATGTTTGTGTATATATCTATACAAACATATAGGTTCTTCAGAATATCAAGTTCTCCTGCATAAAGTAATATTTCATTTGATGACCTAAAATTTCAATTTATCTAAATATTTCTCTGAAAGCTTTTTAAAAAACAAGATAATTCTGCACCCTTTTAAAAATAATATATTGATGAGTTTTAAAAAGTGATAAAAAGAATGTTGATACAGTTATAATGAATGTCACTAAATATTTGTTTTTGAAAAAGCTAAATATTAACTTTGCAATACAGGTTTTTAAACATGAAATTCCTTTGCAAGTAAGAAAAATTTTGCATTTAAAAAGATCACAAACCTAAGGCATTAACATACATAGATCAGAAGTACCAAAATTAAAAGGGAACCCTGTTCACAAAAAAGGAGGTATGAAATAAGGAAAATTCAGGATGGAATATCAGAAAAATATTCCACGAAATGACAAGTGATGTTGCTTTAGTCATTTTGGAGCCAGAATGGGCAAAACCTTAGTGGAAATGGCTGGAACCTCTACAGAAACTCTTTGATAATTCATGACTTAATACTAACTCATGAACAGATTAGTCTCTCTTGGCATATGAACTCATCTGAAAAAGACTTACTAGAAGAAAATTCCTTTTGAGGCGACAGGGAGGCACTGTCATCGACAGAAGAAAAACCACATACAGAAGTGTCTATGGTTAATATACTGATAGGTGAATACCAGAGTGACTCATTTAAAGAAAATAAGAAATAAATATCCAAATTTACAGGACAAATTAGGAACTGATAACACTAAAGTCTCTTTTATGCAAATATCTTTAGAATGAATATATTTCACAGCACCGAATGAAGGCTGAATTCCTTAAGCCTGTTTAATGTGTTTCCAAATTACGTTTCCAGTCTTATCTCCCACTTCCACGCTCTATGAATTTGTTGTTCGATACCGATAATTCTCAGAGGGGAGGATCTGTCCTCTCCTTCCCTCCTTTCCCAAATGGGGAGCATGTGTGAGTCACATGAAGCTTCACCCATCATCTCCCACCCCAAGATTCTGCTATGTCCTTTCTCCTAATCACACTGACAAGCTCTGCTGGATTGAATCATTGTGACTGTCAGATTATACTGGATCTTTCAAGCGGCTGAGGAGGAAAAACAGTTGCCAAAAACTTTTCCAATTAACTTATTACCATTGTCCCTCAACATCTCTCATTCATTTTGTTCCAAGTCTAGACCATTGCTCCTCCCATCTTCTATTTTACCAAATCCTGCCAATATCCTGGCCCTCCTTTACCGAGCATCCTCTGGACGCCTCCCCTGAGCACCACATCACAGAGAGACCTCCAGTCTTCGTACCTCTCGTGTGTGCCTTAGCCAGTGGCCGTCACTGTGCGTATGTGCGTGTGCCCTTCCCTGGGACTACACCTTCTCAAGGAGGCCTTCCTATCTGAACCCATTCAAGCATCTTCCCCTCTTGAGAGGGAGAGAGGCAAGAACAATAAGAATAAAAATGACAATAACAGTGGCAGCCACCGCGTAGTGAGGGCCCATTGCTGCCACACTCTGGAGTGGCAGAGCTGTGTGCATTTTCTCAACTCAGTCGTTCTACAAGGCACGGCATGTAGAAGGCACTCGCATTCACTGGCAGAATAAACATGCATTATTTTATAATCCTCATGTTACAGATGAAGAAACTGAGACCCAGAGAAGTCACTTGTCCCAGGTCCTGCAACCAGACATGGTAGTGGGAAGTGAATTCAGTTCTACCCAATTCATGCATGTTCCTCCTCCCTATGCTACATGGCCTTGTTATGGCCTTGGACGTCTGCGAAGGACACAGGGGGAGAGGGTGGCATCCATCTGTGTGAACAGTGGCCAGCCCTGGACTTACGACTCAGTCGAATGTGCTGCTCATTCTAAATGAATAGTATGGACAGAGTTAGAAAAATCAGGCATCTGGAAGGTCCTCCAGCTGTGTCCCCCTCCCCACATATGTATCCATAAAGCCCCAGATTGGGGAACAGAAGTCCTTTTAAGATCCCCAGGAAGCCAAAGGGTGGTGGGGGGAAGAACTGTCTGGGAGGCAGATCTTTGTCCTGGCACTGCCTGAGCGACCTTTGGGATTCTCTTAACTTCTCTGGTATCATCCATAAAATGAGGAATGTGACCACGCTGGTTTCAGAGGTCCCTGTATTTCCTCAGAGCTCTGGAGACCTCCCCAGGAACCCAACTGTAAGGTGCTGAATCACTCTGCCAAGACAGCGGACCCAGAGGCCTCCTCGGTGCCCTGCGACTCCCCGACCCTAACACATGCAAGACTTCAGCATATCTCTCAGTCGGTCCTCGGGGCTGGTGGGGAGCTGGTCACCATCCCCACGAGAGCCTTCACCACGTCTCCCTTCAGATTTCTCCTCAGCCGCTGGCCATCACCACTCCTTTCTGCCACAAACCCACGTTCTAACACTTGGGCAGATGTAACACTGCCTAATTATTCTGAGTCATAAGTATAATTGATTTTGTTAATCAGGTTTTTAAAAAAAGATGTATTTCATGTTCCTTTACCTGCCATCTTCCTGAGAACAAACTCAGTAGCGGGCCGGGCAACGAGGAAGGGAGATGCTCTTTGTGGCAGCACAGCCACACTGTCCCCACTGATTTGGGTGGCAGGAAGGGGAAACAGACCTTTTTTTTTGATGTTAGCACACTTTTCATTGTGCTAGATGCTTTAATATGCATTAAAAAAAATCTGTTCAATCTTTCAAAGTCAGTTCCTACCAGCCCACAGTTGTAAGGTAACTCAAGAGCTGAGGAGGGAGCATGGTTCTGCCAGGCTGCAAAATGCTCGCTTTTCCTGCTGTCCCAGGTGTCTATCACAGTGGGAGCCAAGGCTGACTTCGCCACTAGGCCAGCAAGCAAGGTGCTGACGGCCCATGCCACTTCCAGGGACCCACAAAAAATGGTTCCATTTTAATTTCTTTTTAAATGCAAAAAGAAGAGAGAACATAATAGTAACAAATAGATACTAATGAATCCAGCCTGTATCTTTTTACCAACGCAGCCAGGAAATATAATTTTCAATTTTTTTTATGGAGGAAAAGGCCCAAGTGCCTAGAACGGTGCCTTTCATAATGACCCGCGAAAGCATAACGCACCTCCTGCGCACAGCCTCCGCTTTCGACACTGACTTTCTGTCTCAGGGCACAGGCTATGACTTTAAGAAAATGCCCAGATGTAGAATCTATTCATTTCCAAAGCTGCAACTCCATCCTATCTTTTTCCTGCTTGGTTGAGATACGGATCTGATATTAGATAAATGGCCCTTTGCCACTTGTTCTGGTGGACCGAGGGTTTTGGGGAGAGGAGTATTCGCTGGGGAAGATAGGCTGTTGGGGAGACGGCCCACTGAAAGGGTCACCTGAAATCCTACCGAAGCAAATGAACCAAACACAGGAAATTTAGGTTTTAGCACACAGAGCTGTTGACATTCACTTTGTTATGACTCCAATAAAAATATTCACGTGGGTAGCCAGGCTGAATGCAGTCATTACGCCTGGGGCATGCACCATCTAAGCGAAAAACAATTTTGAGGTTTCAAGGGAAAAAAGGGCTCATCCCGTTAATGGCATTAGCTCCACACTCCTGAGGCTGGAAGCTCATTTTCAGGCAGGCTGCGTCAGGCAGAGAGTTCCCACTTACCCGAGAGACGACTCTTGAGCTTTGTTTTACTGCTGCCCTGTTTGGGACTTTCCACATTCCCCTTGGAGTCGTCAGTGCCATGTAAATCTTGGGGCTCATCTGTCCCAGGCATCTGGAATGCAGAGAGCACAGAGCTGAGAGAGGCTGGCCCTGCCTTGACTTACGCTTTCCCCTCCAAGCAGTTATCTCGAGGTTCAAGGAGCAGCAACACAGGTGTCATGTGAGGAAAAGGTTCACGGGATCTAAGCACAGCCCTTCAGATAAGCTGATTCAGACGGCCTCACGTTGGCATGTTCCTCCTCAGCACGCACCTCACCCTGCAGCACAGAACCAGGGACGTTTCGAACTGGAAAGGGTCCCTGGGGCCACTTTACCTCTCATTCTACGTTTGAGGCAACTTATTGGTCAAGGTTCCCCAGGTGGTGGCCCAGTGGTCAACGGTAAAGCCCCAGCTAGAGCCCAGGCCTTTAACTTGTGGGCCAGTGCTTTTGACTATAATGCAAATTGCAACAAACGTGAAAGCAGAAGTTTAAATCCAAATCTAAGGTTCTTTTTTTTTTTTTTTTTTGAGACAGAGTCTCACTCTGTTGCCCAGGCTAGAGTGCTGTGGTATCAGCCTAGCTCACAGCAACCTCAAACTCCTGGGCTCAAGCAATCCTACTGCCTCAGCCTCCTGAGTAGCTGGGACTACAGGCATGCGCCACCATACCTGACTAATTTTTTCTATATATTTTTAGTTGTCCAACTAATTTCTTTGTATTTTTAGTAGAGACAGGGTCTCGCTCTTGCTCAGGCTGGTCTCGAACTCCTGAGCTCAAACGATCCACATGCCTCGGCCTCCCAGAGTGCTAGGATTACAGGCGTGAGCCACCGTGCCCGGCATAAGGTTCTTAAAATAAGGTTAAATGTTGATTTTGTTACAAATAACTATATCCCTCAATCAACCAGATGTTCCGTGCACTACACTCCCGAGTACTGATTAAACACCTCCCAGAATCAAGCACTGCCGGGCTCTGTGTGTGTCAGATCACACACCTGGAAGTTGTATGTCTATGATACCAGACCCCAAGAGGTGATGCAGAAAGGACACTGCCAAAGCTCATCGCGTCCTCCATCCTAGAAAAGTCAAATGTGCTAAGAAAAAATAAAAACTATGCTTATTAGAGGAAAAGGAAATTCTTACATTTGAGAGTGTTTATAAAAAAATCTGGAGGGGGTGGAATTTACATGTACAAAACTTATGAGATATATGAAAACTATAAACCTTCCCATTTGCAATTTTATTTTCCTTTGAGGTTCTGGGGGATAAAAAGGAGGAAAAAAGTCTTATATTAAAATAGATCAGATTTCTGCTAAGGAACGTATACATACTTTAAAAAGACATATAAAATATCCTTTGACACTTAGCAGTCATTGAAGAATCATGCAATTATAATGCAAAAAAAAAAAACCCTCCTTTGATAAAAAATTATACATTTGCTATGATTTGGATATTTGTCCCCTCCAAACCTCATGTTGAAATTTCATCCCCCATCTTGGAGGCGGGGCCTAATGGAAGGAGTTTGGGTCACAGCAGTGGATCCCTCACGAGTAGATCAATGCCTTCCTTCGTGGGTGGGTTCTCGCTCTGTTCTGCCATGAGTGGAGGCAGCCTGAGGCCCTCACCAGAAGCCAAGCAGATGCTGCTGTCATGCTTTATGCACAGCCTGCAGAACTGTGAGCCAAATAAACCTCTTTTCTTTATAAATTACCCCACCTCAGGTATTCCTTTATAGCAACACAAAATGGACTAAGACAACATTGTATATAAAATCCAATACATAAAAATGTATGAAGTAAGCAATTAGAGGAATTCCCCAGGTAATCCCTTTTAAGAGGTAATTATTCATATATAAATCTTGTATTAATATAAAAAATTTGGAAGGTTCCCTCTTCTTCTTCAAGTTCAAGTATCTTTCTGGATAAGGAAGAGGAATAAAAAGGTCTGAGAACAAGCAGATGTAGGCAAAGCTGAGGAGGGGCATCAGGAGAGCAATCCTGATGCAGAAAACAAAGATAACAAATCTGGTGCATTCATATTCCCATGTCAGGGACTGGCAGGTGTCCAGGTTTAAATTAGGAAGAAAAGGCAAGAATGGAATCCTGAGGATGATTTTTGAGATTCTCTGGAGGGTCTTTTGCAGCCCAAATCCTGACATCACTGCACACACAGTGATATGCCAGAGATCTGGGCCATGTGCAAATGGGAATAACCCAGAGAGAAGCCTCAGGGCCCCTCCTTGGCTTGGCTTAAAAACTTCACGGAAAGAACCTGTGTCCAGACTGTCAACAGCAATTGCCAGAGAGTGAGTTAAGTTCCTGGTTCTTTCTGGTTTTACCACCTGACCCAAGCCATCAGCCCGCAGAGAAAGGGATTCCCCGGCCGGCAAGTTATGACCTGCTGCGGTGCCCATTCAATGGGTTGCTTATTACACAGCGGCCAAGGCTCGACCCATCAGAAAGCCTGTCTGAGATGCTCATGTCAAGGAAGGAAAACCATCCCAGCTACTGTTTCTGGACTTAGGAAGTTTCCTCCTTCGGTCTTCCCCTCTACTCCCCAGCACAGCCCCAGGTTTGCACAAGATAAGAAAAATTCCGGAGATGACGTAAGAACTCCCGTGAGCACCCAAGAAGGAAGGTAGCCCGCCCAGGGCTTCTCAAGTTATGACAGGCAAGGCTGCAACTTGATTCTCCGTCTGAGGACTTCCAGCCTCATGTATTACTGGGGTACGTCCCCTCTCCTTCTGAAGATGCTTTGTAATTAAACTAATAATTTGGATAGTCAATACTGTACAAGTGTTTAGGTCATTCGCCTCAATTTTTTCCACCTCATTTTCACAGCAAACATATATCCTAAAGTAAACACTGTTATCTCCATTTGACAGAAGAGGAAATAAAACTGAGACCCTTAAGTAACATTTGTGTATAACATGTATCTGGGATCTACGATAGACTGTGTGGGAAAAAAGTGAGTACAGATTAGTGATGTTGAGTTGCAGGAGACCATACCTCTACTATGCCAAATCTGAAGTCCTTATGATGCAAACAAAGATGCTGTAAACTCTTATTATTTTCAGAATCTAAGGGAGGTGGTTTAAAAGAGAGTCACAGCCTGAAACAACATTTTCTTTTTTTTCTCCAATCCCTCAATGCACCAAAAAACGAAATGAGATTTAATATCTATGATCTACAAAATGCCCATAAGATTTCTTTTGCCAAAGAAATCTTATGCTAAAGATGATGTATGTTACTCCCTAATGCCTATAGCTAGAGGCAATAAGGATGAACCTAGAGATGTCGCAAGTGTTGCAAAGGGTACTCTGTTGAGCTCAAGGCAGGAGTGACATTTTATTTCAGAAACCACTGAAAGTGTTAGCGTCAGGTTCTGAATTCTTTCTTTTTTTCTTTAGAGACAGGGTCTCACTCTGTCTCCTAGGCTAGAGGACAGTGTCACAATCATAGCTCACCGTAACCTCAAACTCCTGGGCTCAAGTGATCCTCCTGTCTCAGCCTCCCAAGTAGCTGGGACTACAGGCACTTGGGTTCTGAATTTAAATGGAACTGTTTCCTCTTGTAACAGAAAACTGATTTGTCATGATGTTAAGTGGCTTGTAAGTCAATGAATGGGAAGTAGGTTGCTTAGACACATTAGTTCCAGATTATATCAGGAAGTAGCAACACACAAAGTACAATTTTGATCACAATGAGCCTCTCCGTAGTCTTATGACTATTATCTGAAAATGTCCACACTCTAAGAGAGTCCCTTTGCTGTGTGTATTTTTTCCCCACGCACAGAACAAATCAAACTGTTCTGGAAATGATGTCAGTTTAGTTGTTCCAAAATGAAATTTGCAAAACGTTCTTCCAGAAGGCCTTTGGTTCAGCAAAACAGTTGACAGAATCTATTATTCATGAGCAGTTTCTAATTCATGTGTTATAAAACAATGCCATTATATTAATGGAATCTAATTGAATTTGCCAATTTAATTTCCGTGTTAGAGCCTTTGTGTTTGCATCATTTTCCGCACCTGTAACATACAAAATTCTCTCTCGATGAAGAGGCATCTTTAGCTTCTAGTTTTGTAGTGAGGTGGTAGGGCAGGGTGTTTAAGCTGCCTGGGTACAGACCTTTGTTCTACCATTTTATCAGCAACTTAGTTACATTAGTCATCCTCTTTGAGTGTCAATGTCCTCATCTGAAAAATGGGGCTGGATTTAAGAATTAAATAATATAGGTTTCTGACAAAAGGTGGCAGATTTCTCCTGATTTCCATTTTGAAACCACACTAACAGGACAGGGAAGGGGAAAACAACAACAACAAAAAATAGACACAATCCCACAAGGGCAAAGAGAACAGAAGACAACAGTAACAAAATTCTAGAAACCAGTAAGCAAACATGTGGTAAAGGATCTGACTTGAGGAAGCTGAATCCTAAATGGGGATTGAAGAAGGCCGAACCATTTGCAGAGAGAACTCCCAAAAAGCCCAGCGGCTGCCAACAGAGGCCCTCTGGGAGTGGACACGAAAGCAAGGCTGAAACAGCGACACAAGGAACGGCTGAGAGTTGAAAGTGGTCCACGCAGGTATTTACAGTGGTCTGATTCTGAGGGAGATTCCCAGGGGTTGGGAATGACCGAGACAAACTTAGGAGTGCATCGCAATCCCCTAGAGAGCTAACAAAGAACTCAGAGACCCGGCCTGGGCCCCTGTAACTCACTACTGCCCTGAGCCAAAGGGAACCAGGCTCCAAAGGAGATGCAGGACTGAGCTGCAACTTCCCGGCTTCTTCCTGCCCTCCCCTGAGTTTACTCCAGAGATGAAGAATGGGAGAATGGATGCTTCCCAGCTGCCTACGAATGAGGAAAGGGTTACCATCATCACGCTGCTTCCTATTCCCAATATACGTATTTTAACCAGCATTTAGGGAAACCTATTCTGCTCAATGTATAAACCGCAAGCACACGAGGTATACGCACAGTATAACGCAACTGACACGTACCATGGGTAGCAGCACATATCGTGCCCATAATATACTAATAGATCGCTGATGTCCGAGGCAGTTCTTTCATTA